CCCCCCTGATCTCCTGACCTTTTTGTTTGGCCCTACCCCCCTGATCTCCTGACCTTTTTGTTTGGCCCCACCCCCCTGATCTCCTCACCTTTTTGTTTGGCCCCACCCACCTGATCTCCTGACCTTTTTGTTTGGCCCCGCCCTGCAGGAGTTTGTGGAGAGCAGTCGGCGGTTGGAGCGAACGGGGGGACGTGGGCGGAGCCGAGTGAAGGAGGCAGCGTCGGAGGGGGCGGAGATGAAGCCCATGGTGAGTGAATGCAGTGCTGGAGGGGGCATGGCCAGGCAGAAGGCTTCCTCTGAGGGCATGGGGGCGGGGCCACACTGGGGCGATGACGGGGAGTGGGAGGAGCTCCAGGAGTTCCAGGTGTACTACCTGCTGGTAGGGGTTCTGGTGGACTGGGTCCTGATGGAGCAGAGGGACTTTGTCCTCTGCCTCAGCGAGGATGTCGTCCTCTTCCTTTGCATCTACCTGCCCACCTCCACCCTCTTCCTGGTTGTCAGCCTGCTGCACACCCCAAGCCCCGCCCCCTTCGCCAACTCAGCTGCTCAATCAGCCGCCGTCACCGCCACGTGCTAACACACCAAGCTAACTGATGGATGCTAACATGAACCTGCAGTTTGGACTGATGCATGCAAACATCACCTCCATCATCACCTTCATCACCTTCATCTTCATCATCCTGCTGCCCGCTCTGTTGAACTAAACTCACTGACTTTAAATTATTTTTTTTACTTTTATATTTTTATATGAAGAATATTTTTATAAAGCGCAGCTCTGTGTGTGAGGAGTGTGTGTTCTGCCTTGATCCGTCACCTCGGTGCTTTAAAACCACGGAGGACTCAGCAGATAACGGGTCAGATCCAGGTGAGACCACTAAAAACCTGCAGAACCCAGACACCTGAAGGAGACGTGATACCAGTAGGTTCTGACAGATTTAACCAGCTGACCCAGGTCACAAATTCTGCTCAGATTGTTTATTTTTGAACAGTCATCACTTGGATCACAGAATGAGGTGTTCTGTTGGAGTCACCCTCAGAGGTTTCAGTCTCCTTCAGGTAGACCGGTTCTCATTTCTGWCCCGTTGGATCCGGGTCGGYCCGCTGCCTTAACTTTAAACCACAGRGAACGACGGTGACGAAGGTTTCAAYTCTCTTTAATGCAGGGGCGGAGCTATCCAAGGTGTTTTTTTTAAGAAAGGGCACATATAAATGAAGAAAAGTACTTTGGATCTGATAATTCAAGATGGCCGCCACAGTTAATTGCAAACGGCTTTAATTCAGCTTTTTTATGAAATACTGAGCTGACGTGTGACATGCTGAATGCTAGTTATTATTCAGCCATTTTTAGACATACAGAGCTGACGATTACCAAAACAGTCTTTACCAAATTCTAAATGCTAATCAAAAGTTCAAGATGGCCGCCATAGCTAACTTTAAAAGGCTAAAATTCTGCCATTTTAAGAATTATTGAAATGAAATTTGTTGTGAAGACCAACATTGATCGCATGCCGGTTTTGATACTAATCCCAAATTTAGCTAACAGCTAATGCTAATGCTAATTTAACAAAGGGCTAGAATTTGGCCATTTTTAAACAAGCACAGCTGAAAATTTATTATAGTCTGCATTATCAGAGAACAATATAAAAGCAAATATAAAATCCAAGCTCCCCGCCTACTTGTTAATTATTTAGGGGTGGCACCTGGGGTGGCCTATCAGGCTCCAGTAGTGGGCTCAGCCACCCCTCTGGCTCCGCCCCTGCTCTAATGAAAACAAGTGGTTTGAAACGTTGACAGAACTGCTCTGATTCGTCAACATGTCAAAGTTTTGGATCAGAACCACGTTGTCTGCTGGGTCCTCGGCTCCTGTTGGAGGATCTGTTCTGATGGAACTCAGCGCAGTTTGAGCCGTCTGATAAAAGTTTACAACCTGAAATAAAACCAGAAACATTTGATATTTTTCTGTTTCTATGTCTCTGCAAACTAAAATAAAGCTGCGTTTCCCCCACCGGAACCAGAACCTGAGGACGTAATTTACCCTTTAGAACAGGGGGGTCGAAATCAGTTACACAAGGGGCCAAAATTCAAAACTTGGTCCAAACCAAGGGCCAAAATCTGCCAATGTCTCTTTAAAAAAACTTTGTTTTAAATGTTCTTTAACCAGTTCTAATATTCATTAAATTAAAATAGTGTTTAAAGTGCCTGTGATGTGTATATCCTTCAAATACAGAAAATCAAATAAAACAACTTTATATTTAAGAAACTTTGCATAGTACAGGTGATTTTTACTAATTTTGTCACATAAATCGCATATTTTCTTTTGAACTTAAGTGAAACAGGAAGTGACATCAAAGGGGAAATCTTTAAGAAAGACAACTCTTTATTGAAACAATATTTAAACTTTAACTTTTCTTCATATCTCTAATGGTGACTCAAAATAATCTGACGAAACATCAGATTCGTCTCTACGGTCTGTGTTAGCTGTTGTAGCAACGCTCTGTTTACATTCCCCTTTGACATCACTTCCTGTTTCTTCACATGCAACTATCTCAACTGTTCATCTCAGCAGAGTGAAATTAGTTTTGCTATATGTTAATGTTATTTTTCCAAAAATGTGTTCATATTTATTACAAAAAATTGACGTCAGTCACTTTAAAACATACACACCCTAACATATAAAGATAAAAGGTTAAATTTGGCATTTATTTCTAATGACTTTCACTCTGTTAACAACCTTTTTAGTTTATTTTTTAAAAAGACATTTTGTCACAATCCAGCAAATCATTAAAAAAAATAAAAGCCTGACTAAAAATCCAATTATATGATTTTAAAATAATAAAATACAGAATAAACTGTGACAAACTCTAAAACTATTGGCTGGATAAAATGTTAACGAGGACCAGATTTGGCCTGCGGGCCATGAGTTTGACACATGAGGTTTAGAACTTTCTGAGGAAAAGGAAAGTTTATTGGGATTTATTAAACCTCATCTGCTCTTTATCAAGTTGATCAGTTTRATTTTGTTCAGAGTTAAAATTTTGCAGAAAACCTTTGATCTCCTGGAACTTATTTTAGGGAACCTTCAGGTTCTGTGTTGTTTCGGTGGAAAATCAGCTTAAAGAACTTCTCATTGCCAAGACTGTAAACTGTGGTGCTGAGCTGTTTATTCACTGCATGTCTGTGTTCCAATGGTCTGTAGGAGGTTCTAGACTGGATCGTCTGGAGGAAGTCTGATCTGATTGGTTGTTACAGCTGAAAGTAAACAAACTCTCACTGAGCTAATTGTTATTTTGTTAAACAGTCGGTTAATTATTTTTGATATATTCCAGTGATTGAACCTCCTGCTCTGAGGGTCCAGAGCGTCCCTCCAGCTGATCCGATCTAGCGTCTCCCTCAGTCTGTGTTCAAACTGTTGAACAAAGAGACACAAAACAACAACAAACTGCTGAGAAGTTATTTAGAGTTTCACTTTGGGGTCTCTGTGTCTGATGATGTGAAATAAACCTCAACTCATCCACTAAACCAAAAACCAGAAGAGAAGTTTTCTTTTTCCCGCTTTCCTGTCTTCTATGGGATAAATCTTGTGCCAGCAGGAAGTGAATTTGAATTGCTCAAATTGAATCTGAATGTGTAGAATTTGAAATTGAATTCATTGGTTTGAAAATAAATTTCACTAAAATGAAACTGAATTTAATGATTTGAAACTGAATTTCAAGTTT